ATTATCGCAGTGAGATATACACAACTTAAGCAGTTGTGAAATTAAAGCCTGAAAACAATTCAGGCTTGAAAGAGGCTAGCGATACCGGTGTAGTGCTCTACCAACTGAGTTATCAAGCCAACTGGGAGCTAGTCATTTTGTGAATTCGTATTATACCCAGAGAGGGTGAAGAGTATAAGTGAATATAACTTTCACAACTTACGCAGTTGTGAAATTAAAGCCTGAAATTTTTTCAGGCTCTAATTTCACCTCTGTTTTGAGGTCTGCTATCTTAGGTCTTTGTTTTCAGGGTCTTTGTTTTCGTTACTACCCAATTGCTTATCCTTATATATTATTTTAGCTCAAGCCTAAAATTGTGGATCGCAGACCAACAATCACAGACAAAAATGTTGACACATTTGAGCAAAACGAACGCTTTCTAATCAGCGTCCTTCTGTAATTGAAAAAAAAAAATCATTTTTCTCAATAGCCAAACCCCCCTCTCCCCCTTTTCAATGTTGAAATACGATATTGATTACAACATTGAAAAGGGGAGAGGGGTTGAAATGTGAAAATTGGAGATTGACAAACTCATGTATTCAACGAAACGGTTTTTTTTTCAGAGAGTGTCTCAACTACTTTTGTCAATGATTGTCTGATTTACATTTTACACATTGTGAAGCTTTCTCAGCATCATCAGTGTTCCATCTACTCAGTAGTACTTAGCATCATTGTTAAGCAAACTATAAATCCTGTCACGTACCAGTAGAGTGCGAATATTATGTCACATCGGTTAATTATTCGTGAGAATTATTTCACGAAATGGTTTTCGAGGAGCCATTGATGCAGAAAGACGAAAATATGTTTTGTTTTTTACGTAAATTTAGGACGCAAAGGAGCAATACCTTATGAGAAAATACAATATTTCCCGTGCATCTCTTTACCATATCCTTAAGAAGAAAAAATCAAGTTCAACAAGGGCTAAATTCAACATAAACCCTGAATTTTTTATACTCGTTCCCAGTCTTTTCTTGGCTTACCTGTTTTAAACACCTTCATTGCCTCTGTGAA